CACACACACACACACACACACACACACACACACACACACACACACACCCAGTCTGATACACACATACTCATCACTTTCATCCACACTTCCATGGCTGTCAGCATGGCTCGTATTTTAATTTATCAGATGTTTTTACTAACCAGCTTAATTTTGATGTGAGGGATGTAGCGACATCACTGCAACAAAGTGCAAAAGGGGCGAGCAACAGTGATCAGATAATGAGAAAGACTGAGCATTTGCACCTCTTAAAAAATCGAAGGCGTCACAAGATGATTAAAAGGATGAGAAAGAAGAGTATATTATTATTTTCTTTGGAAATACTAGATCATTTTGCATCTTAATGCCCCTAAAATCATTTCTCATTGAAATGAAACCTGTGACTGGGGGTCTTAATTGCTTAATTTTAGGGGGAAACCACTGAAAGCCATATAGTTTGGAAGAAAACACACATTGACTGCATCCAATATGCCGTTATAGTCATTCAATGCAATAAACATACTGAAGCTGGGTCTAAGTCAAACCGGGATGTAGCTTTACAAACTTCAATACAAAGTTCAGGTAAGCGTTTACAATATAATTACATTTTTAAGTTCAGCAATAATAAAAACTAGGCCCTCTCTACTTGTATCTCTAGAACTCAGCCACTGTGGTGAGTTTGTGGTATGTATACAATAGTATGAGCTAGGTTGTGTCTTTTTGTTTTATTCCTGTGTGGATGTGTGTACTCGTACTTGCCACCCCCGACGCCAGGCCGTAAAGCAGGCCTCCTTCAGCCTTCGGCTCAAAGATGTGGGTCGCTGGAGGCGGACATTTCTCCTGCCTGATGAAGTTATAGAGCAGGGTCTTCACCAGACGACTGGTCAAAGACAAACTGGGGAGAAGAGAGACAAATGGACAGACAGGTTTTAAAAGACAGCTGGAAACCTTAAGCTTCTTTTGTACGAGGTTTAATATGTGAGGTATTCAACATTTCAGGAATTACGTGAGTGTATATAGAGCACTGGAAAATACGTTGGGACACAGGCAGAAACTCAGCTGCAAATATTTCAGAATAAAAGCCCCGAGGGTCATCTAGTCCTGTGGCTTTAAAGGCAGAATGAGTAGGATTTTTTTGGGTGTCAACCTCTACAAAAACGTAGCAACCAAGTGCAAAATTGGAAGCACACATCTAAGAGGAAGCTACACATATGGCAGACACGGCGCTGCAGACAGAGCTCGTTCCAAAACGAGAGTGAATTTGGGGTCGTCTTTCACCTGCTAGCAAACACCGTAGCCCTCCGGGGACGAGTGGCCAACTTCGGATTTTGTGTCTACAAACCACAACAGACAAATCCTTCTCATTGTGTTCCTCACCTGCTCTAAAGAAACAAATTATATCTGACTGCAAACAACTGGATTAGGAATAAAAACACAAAGATAAAGCAAAGCCCAGACACAGGACTTGTTCTTCTAAATCCCACATGTCCAGGTGTGTGTGTGTGTGTGTGTGTGTGTGTAACCAGACAAACTGAGATCCTATTCTCCGTCCACAGGTGTCCCTATCAGGTGTCTATTTGAGACTCTGCTCTTCCGTCATCACATCTGCTCTCTCCCAACGTGTGACGGACACGTAATTGGCAGTGAACAATGTTTTTCTAGTCACACGCAGCCGTGCTTTTTTCTCAACTAAACCAGACCTTTCTACATCTGTTTTGCCAACATCAGCTCCTTGGAAGCCTTTCTTCAGCTCAGTAGCAATTAATCAAAAGTTTTCTCCTTTGGGTCTATTGCTGCGAGAGCCCGAAAAGAAGTTTGACATTTTAGGACATTAATCCGTCTTCATGTGTTTATTTACATTTTTTTAAGTCCTTTTTTTATGTGAACTTGGTTTTGGGTTAGAGCTTAGCGTTACTGTATATTTTAAAGATAAGGGTTAAGTGAAGCCATGCAGTTTTACTAGTTACAGTTTGGTGCGTTACGTTAACGGAAGGCTTCCGAGTATAAACCCGTGTGTGTGTTTTCTCACCATCGTCCCTTCATGATGTGCTGGTAGATTAATCCATCCCGGAGGATGTCTTTGTGGAAGAGTTGGTAGGAGAAGAACACCAGCAGCGTGGTCACGGCTTCAAAGAGGATGCTATAGGTGATATCACTGCACAGAAAAGACACATGCAAGTAGGGTTAAAGCAAATAAATCATAATCTCATACATCACAACTTCAAAAGATATACATAAATGTCGAAGTAGATGGTGTTTAGATGACTATTCTTCCATTGAAGCTTGTTTCCTAAACTCAACTGTCCTCTGCCTCCTTCCACTTCCACAGTCTTTGTTAAATACATCTCTCACTGAAAGTTATCACTTGACTGTGCCTGTGGACAGATGAACAGTTAAAGGGCTTTCATAAATATTGCCATTATTGCTTCATCTTGACTATTTTGGTCCATTACAAATTCTACAAAGACCAAGTTGACGACTTGAAAATAGCTCGTTTTATCCGACCCACAGTCCAAATATATTCAGTTTAATATCACAGAAAAAAGAAAATATTCACATTTGAGAAGCTAGATCCAGAGAATGTTTAACATTTCTAACTAATAAAAAATTGATTATGATATAAATCATTTTTTTTGTTTGCTGACCAATCGATTAATGGCCAAATTGTTATTGTTTCAGTAGAACAACTATATAGCTAAACACAGGCTGTGAATGCAAAACAAATGTCTTTAATATTAACTACATATTAACTTCATCTTTACCAATTAATTAGCCATCTGTGTCAAGGTTTAAATAATCTTGTAAAATTTGAAAAAAAGTTGAATTAAAAAAAAATATCATTCAGGTGTTTTTGGTTACTGAATATCTCACAAAATAGATTCTGGTATAAAAATAAGACAATTCATACAGAAATTAAGTCTCCACTAAAGGCTTAAATCATATGGCTTGATTTAAATGTAAGACACCTAATATTTATTCAGACATCAGAGAAACGGTAACGATGTCACAGTATGTGTGGAAAAACAAAAAGTAACTGTGATTTAATACGCATCGACTGCATACCTGGAGATGTGTTCTAAAAAGCTGCTGACATCTATCTTTCTTGTGAAATGAAGCCACAAAAAAAGTGAAGCAGTCTGTTTGGGATTTGGGGGAAAACAGAGATTCGCATCCTAATCCCAGAAGCACGTACGGAGGGAAATGTGGCCGACAGCCACAAAGTGGTGGAGGGGAGGAAAAACAAGGCTGAAGTCTTGGAAGCTTGGAACAATGAATAATGCTTCACACAGGAGCCAGGGGTTTGATGTCCAGAGACAACAGAGAAGAGAAGGGAGAACGTAGACGGCTTGACAGAGAGGAGGAGGATCAAGAATGACACGATACAGACAAGGAGGGAGAGAAGAAGATGCTGCGTCAAGGAAACACCGGTCGTGAGTTGTGTCTCTGTGAACTTGTTTTGACACTGCGGAGGAGGATTTAGTCCACAGAGACGTGCGTACTGTATCTCTGTCTCTCTGTGACAGACTGAGTGGCAGGCAGGAGATAATTCCGGCACTGATGAGTAAACACGCTGAAATATTCCCTCATTAAAGCAGAGTGCGTTAGCGTGCATGCCGCCCACGGGGAGTAAAGGATGATGCCATTTTTTTTTTCAATCATTATGTTCCCTCCTCTCCCACTCATTGGCAAACGCTCCTAATCAAACTTTAATTTCAAGCCTTTTTTCTTCTTCCGAAACAACAAACACATCCTTAGTCACATCCCCTCCTTTTTGTTTTTTGGTATTTCGTCCCTTTACTCATCCAGTTGCCAGCTCGGCAACTCGGGAAGTGAAACACACGGACATCCGAGCCGAACCCTTGATCCGTAATGGATTTCAGCTTCTCTTGGTTAGTGAACCGAGCAGCGAATGAGCCGAGTGGAGCACGCAAAGAGAGCGTTACAAACCTTTTCGCAAACTGTTTTTCATTAACTGCTCAATGACTAATATCTGACACACATTAACGACCGACAAACAAGGAATAAAAACAAGGAAGTCAAGAGATGGGGCTGGCAAAGGTCACCAGCACTCTGTGTTTTCATGCGAATGTTAAGCTGATAATGTGACGTCAAACAAGGGATCTTGAACAATTTGCACCATGACATTAAAAAACAATCACTGTGTGGGGTGTAAAATGTCACTTTACAGTGTTGTATCCCAATCTGCCTCACATGTGGGACTGTTTTAGTGTATGTAAGACACACATTCTCTCACACACCAGGGAGATACTTACAGCAGGGGCACTTCTACGATCAGGTGGATGAGGTTGGACAACAGCTCCTCCAGGAGGTCCTCGCTGCCGGTTCCTACACGATAGAGAGTTATTATATGCGACATATATACGGTTCATCATAAGTCTCTCTTCACTCGGCTCCTTCCTGCTCTAGATCCCCCTCTCCATCCTTCCCATCATCCATATTTCATGCTCGCTGTACAGAGGAATGGCATTGAGGGAAGTTAGTAAATTGGGATTGCAGGGTTTCCGCCGGGTTCGCCAAGTTAAATGTAATACTTTAATACCTCAGACATTTTCAATACCAGATATAATGCAATTTAAGGCCTGTTTCACGATCACATCATGTAAAACCAGGAGAGACGACGAATTATTAAATCATAGTTTCAGTATTTCCCAGCTGTATAAAGCAATTATTCTTAATGATATAATTAATCAAATTAACGCGACTTGGACACGGAGAAGAGGCAAAGAATGAATGGATGGTTTAAACAAATTAATGTGATTCATTTATGTTAATGCTATTGCTAAAGTTCATACTTTCCCATTATGGGATGATGAGCTTCCTAACTGCAGTGGCTTGCTACAGGTCTGATGGTGTTGATTAAACCTCCCCCCAAAAAAAGGATTGAACAGCTTCAACTCGCAACAACTCCACTTATCTTCACGTTACCACTTTCAACAAGCTGGAATTAGCTCTGTCATTCAGCAGGTAAATCACAGAACGATATGTTTTTTTTATAACAATCGACCGAAACAGCAGATCCAACTCTGTAACGTCTGTAGGCGTGTTTCTGTTTGTCAGATATGAAATGTCACAGTTCGTGTTTGCGAGTGAATACCGGGAGCAGGAACAACAAACATGATGAATATGAACGAGTAGTATTTTCATTTTTCTCTGCAAGTGAGCATTAAATGTTATTGTGTTTATCGAGGTTGTCGAGCGGCCACACATTTGCAGAGTGTTTGTCTGGAGACTTACCTCAGACAGGGCTCGTGTTTTAGACCGAAAAAAAAGAAATGACCTGCAGTCAGTGGACGCAGATTCAGACTTTAATTAACAGAGTCTCTGAGAGACAGCTGATCCAGGTCAGGAGCTAAGGGTATTCAATATGTGCTCAATTACAAAAGCCAATTTCCTTTCTCTCTTAAGGTATGATGGGAAGTGTTTGACCCTTGTGGCTGGATTCTAATAACTCACATCTTAGAAGCCGACTGGGAGCCAAACACTTTCAACAATGTCGCTCGACCGATGGATTTAAAAAAACATCTCTAAACTGACTTATAGAACCGTAATGTTTGTCTCAGACAATCAAGCGGCAAGTCCCTCCACATGTCGAGAGGTTTGCGACGATGATTTACGCATGCAATCTGTGGCCCCGCTCCTTCCTTTCCCACTTCAATCAGTGACGGGTGAGGCTCACCTCCACAGGAGCCCGGCGCCCTCTCCTGGTAGGAGAACTGTAGGCGCAGCTCCTCCTCACTCATCTCCCTGATGAACACCTTGAGCAGGCAGCGGATCATGAACAGTGCATTGTGGGCCTGCCAGATAAACAGCTGACTGTGGAAGGGAAAAAAAATGAATGAAGCGTCAGGTTATCACATTGTAATCGTCAAATAATGACCCTCCCCCCGAACTTCACCGAAGCTTTAGACTTACTGCACTTAATATGCATCTTCCTGTGTACTATTAAAAACGGTGATGATGAACAGTTTTCTCTAAACTGCATTACAACAACCAAGAAAACTAAGAGAATAGCGACGCCCTCTCCCTCGATACTAAACTACTTAACTACGTCTTCACTCATGAAATGGGGACAAAGTTGGTGAGAAACAAATGAGGAGGAAAACAAGAAATGATTGGAACCATCCAGAGCAAGCCAAGATGTTTCACAACCACGAAACACCAACACGGGCGTGTCTAATCAGTTCCACAAATTGACAATTTCCACATGCCAATTGTTGTTAGACTCCAAAAACATTGGTTTGTTTGTGGGGAAAATAGACGCGAGCGGAAGGGGAGCTACAACCTCTAACGATGTGCGATAGACAATGAAGAGTTTCCCACCCGAAGCTTTTTGGGTCATCTCTGTGGATATGGAAGCTTGGCAGCGAGTGCAGAATAATGCCACATGTGTTGGTGGTTATACCTCAGCAGTGTTCTCGTGGGAAACCACTTCCCCCGACTGCCTGTGAGCAAACAATAACCGGCCTGCACTCTCTCCCGCACAGCGAACTCTGACGTGCACGGTGTTCATCGTTACTGACGCACTCGTCTGAATTCTCTCCTCCGAGGTTCCCATACTCACTCTTGGCATTCTGTGGAGATTTTCAGCTCTTTGGTTCTTCCGAGGAAAATTCGAACCAGAGCACCAAAGTTCCCCGACCTGGGATTGTTTTCAACTTGGGGAAAAAAAAAAAGAAAAAAAGGAGAACTTAGCAGCTGCATTGACATGAGAATCCAGAAACTTCCCAATCTGATAGTTTGGCATGCAAACAATAAGACGATTTAAACAACAAGAAGTTGATATTTGTGGTTATCAACCTACTGAAGATCTTGGCGAGGGGGATGACAGCCTCTTCCAGTAACTTGGAGTCTCCGCTGGTTTAAAGGAAGAACAAAACACAAGAGAGTTAGAAAGAAGAGGAGACGATGCCTAAAAGATATGCAAAATAAATCATCTGCCCTCTGTTAACCAAACACTAATCACATTCAAATTGTTTGCATCTGCTTTTACATAAAAAAAAAAGACTCAAGTTTACAGACTTCTTCACTTTTTGTGTACATATGTGTTTAGTGCTTCAGTGAATGCAGTATGTTTCAGGGCACCACTATGCTGACCTAACAGTTACTCAAGCCATTAATTCAAAGATAAATCGATCATAAAGAATAATAGCTAGTTGCAGCACTCACTTAAACCACTCTCATAGTCCTGGTTTTTTGTGTTGGCAGTGCAGATACTGTATGTCGACTTTGTGTCTTTATTTCTTGTATTTGTGTTAAAATAAATAAGATAAATCTTTGATCATACGGGGAAAGCATGGCGCAATAATGAGTAAGGATAAGTACACGAGTGCATGTGCTCTGTTATCAGTCAAGTCCGGTTGCAAGAACGAATGCTGCATCTTTCTTACAAAGGAACTAAACGTCGACCTATTCTCAGCCCAGCAGGACAATAACCCTGTGGAATCATTGCTCTGCAAACATCCTGTCCACAGTTTAATGTTTGATCCTGGTTGAGAGTCTTAACTCTCTCAGTGGAAAGCACACTGGACCTCTTGAGCAGATACTTAAGGGGGAATTTGCAAAAAGAACTGAGCCGTTTTCAAGAAGCTGCTAGTAGAGTCATTAATAGTTTGATGTCCTCTACATTTTTAAACACACCACCAGCTGTGAGACTGTGATGAAAACACTTCCAGGAGAAGACTATATTGATCAGTTTTACATTCAATTTGTTTTCCCTCCTTGCTTTCTCGAGGAATCGCTGACACAAGCTTTGCTTACTAGCTTTCTCCTGAGCACTTAACTGCATTTTATTCATCACCATTGTGCAAAAAAAAGCAAGCGAGTGGGCCTCATCTTAGTAATTATTTCTCTATTAATATACTCGCTGTATAACGATAAAGAGACGGAGAAACGTGCATGTAAAGCTGCAAGCACCAAACATTTGCTGCCAGCAGCAAATGTTTGTGCTCCAACTTTATAAATTGTGAAACTAATAATCATTGAATCTTGCAACATTCTGGGACACATGTCTAACAGAACCTTTCCGTGTGTGTGTGTGTGTGTGTGCACCTGCTGGTGGGACTAATGAAGGTGAAGGAGATGAGCTGGTTCCAAAAAGGATCGTTCTCCGATATGGATTCTGTGCCCACCAGGGCGTTGAGGCTGGTATTATCGGACAGGTCACTGATATGGCTGGTGTTCGCTCCCATCTCTCTCTCTCTCTCTCTCTCTCTCTCTCTCTCTCTCTCTCTACTGGCTCCACTCAGCCAGACTCACCACTCTTCACTGCTTTTTCACCAGGCATATGCCAAATCCTGGGAAAAGAGGAAACGCTTTAATCATTAATGCCATAACAGAAAATGAATAACCACTACTACAAACAAACTAGGTTTGCATACCTGCCACCACTGGAAAGGATAACGTGGTTCTGTAATCTCCCTATCCTTGTATTTCGAATAAACATTTTGATTTGAGTTATTCTATGTCCAATACATTAACTTAAAACAGAGGCCACGTTGACTACAGGATAACACGAAGGAACCAGGATGTTTGTTTTGATTTCTTGAAATGGCACACCTTTAGCACACAGGGGTCAAAGGGAGCTGGAGTACACTGTAAAAAACCACAGAGAATAATAATAATAATAATAATAATAATAATAATAATAATAAAAGAGTGAATACCTCTTTTAGTTGTAATGGTAATAAAAGGCACAAATCTGAGCTAAAGGGATACAGATGCCACTGAAAGCAAGATATTTTTCTCATGTTTTTTGTCATTGGCTAACAGACTATTGTGACTGGTCAGATCTGGACTGTGCTGTCTCGTGGGTCTCTAGCTGCTAATGTGACTGATCTTGCATCTGCTGAGTTAACCAACTTGCATGACGTTAGCTAGCTCATCCGGTTTCAGGTGCAACATATGATAGCCTCGGTTATTCTGACCGTAAACACGGTGCACTGAATGTCATGCATTAGCATTAAATCATAGCGAGGTACATTACTGATTCACGAGCGTGTCCAGGTTAATACGTCACTGTGGCTGGAGAGCAGCTAACATTAAGGTTCACAGCTTGTTTGCTATCAGCTGACCGCTTACCTGTCATGAATGCTTCTCGCAGTTTCTGTGTCTCTCGATTTCCAGGACCGTTAAAACGCGACTGGTTTCTACACTAAATAATATGTTTATCCTAATATTATTTCTTAAGTGTAATTTCCTAAACGCAAACCCTTGAAACTGAGGGTAATTTGAGAATATTAAGTTTACTCTACATACTCCTTTCGTCCATGTTTTCCACGTCGCCAACCCCTTGCGTAATGACGACATGTGGGCGTTGACTGCGTCTGAGCAGAGCCGTGTAAAGGGAGAGTCGCGTCGGAACGTTTGATTGTCACGTATCAGAATCACAACCCCAGACCTGTTTATTTGCCAAAGTACGTTGCAGATACAAGGAATTGGACATGGTGGATTGGTGCATAACATTAAACAATCAATCAACACAGGGCAAAAAATAGTAAGATATACACATTTACAATAAAATAGAAACATATAACAATTTATAATAAAATATAGTGCACAAACAAACAGATAACAGTACTTTAAACAGGTATAATGTAAGTGTATTTAAATATAGAAATATAGAAGGGATGTGCAGGGGAGTGTACCGGTAGGAAATTGTCCCAGGTGCCCTCGGGGAGGGATAGGTATCTGCACGATTTTATAACTACAAGGAAAAACCCTTATCAGTGCTCTGTTCTTTTTCATTACTAAATAATTGCTTTTAAAAAAACACATGTAGAATTTTAAAAACAAATACATTTAGAAGATAATTAGAAGGTATTTATAATTTAGATATAGCTAAATATTGTTTCTACAGGGACCACAGTAATGTTTACAACAGAAAAGTCACTATGTAAAGGCATAAATATCTCACTGGAAACATTCATATTCATATTAATTTGAATCAGTCGTGACTCTCATTAAACGGCTCTGCTTTTGGTACGTGTTGCTTTGAGTTGACGTCTATAGTCGACGCAATGTGAGCCTGCAGTACGTCCTCCACACCACTAGGGGGTCTCCTCGTCTGCTCTATCCGCACGTGTGTTGTTTGAGTTTGGCTTCTACACGAGTTCATGCGCGAGATTCGTGTCGGAATACAACATGTCGGCGTTCAAGAGAAAACGTGGAAGACAGACTCAGGCTGATAGAAAGGCAAAGAAAGCGAAATTTATAGCAGATGGAGGCGAAGCACCGGTGGAAGCCGATCAGGAGAAGAACAATGAAGTCACGATTCCAGCACCGGTTTCGTCGGTAAGTGCTCCTGCTTGTTATTAGCCACTAGGTTGTTAGCTAGTTAGCTAACGTGCCCAGTCGGGGATCACACTCCTAATACAAGGCAAAGCGAAGATTTAAATGCTCAGTATTTCCTGGTTATTATTAACAATGAAGAGTCTAACTGGACGAACTGGGAAATGGTCTAAAATCCACAATAATAAGCGTGTTTTTGTTTGTTTTTCTTTAACAGGGTAGATGGACAAACAAGGAAAGAGTTCTCATTTTCTCCTCAAGAGGCATCAACTTTAGAACAAGACACTTGATGCAAGACCTGCGGACCCTGATGCCTCATGCAAAAGCAGGTCAGTGCCTTGTGTCAACCATAAACAGTATTATTTCACCCGTAAAACATGTGCTGACATTGCTACTTGTGTTGAGCAGAGATATACGTTGTGTTAATTATACTCTCTTGAAAACGTTTCTTTCTTTTGTCTGTTAGATACAAAAATGGACAGAAAGGACAAGTTGTTTATTGTTAATGAGGTGAGTGTTTTAATTAAACATTTAACATTATGTATAATCTCATGAGTGCACCCTCACTAAAGATCTGTATTGTTCCCAGGTGTGTGAAATCAAAAACTGCAACAAATGCCTTTTTTTTGAAGCCAAGAAAAAGCAGGACCTCTACATGTGGTGAGAGTTTGATCCTTGTTACTCCCTCTAAACATTTAAATGTCCTTTTTTGTAATTGGAGTTATAGAATGCATCAGAAGTAAATTCAACAATGTCATTTCCTTACAGGATTGCCAACAGCCCTCATGGACCGTCTGCAAAGTTTCTGGTTCAAAACAGTGAGTTGCTCCCGTCCCACAGTTGTGAAGTGCAGTAGACAACATCTGTCATGTTCCACGGTGACAAACGGGTCTATGTGTTTGTCTCTCTCCACAGTTCACACACTGGCTGAACTCAAGATGACAGGAAACTGCCTCAAAGGATCCAGACCGCTGCTCTCGTTTGATCCTGTGAGTAGTACTGGTCCGAAGCTATTCTGTCAATAATATAGTTTTATCAGGAGGATTGTGTTAGTGAGTGATTGGGCAGCTGTGTGACACAAAGACCTGTAATTCGATCCACACACCAGATGATTTCAATGATCACTGTTGGATGAATTTATCTCTAAAAATACTGTCTAACACACTGTCTACTCTGGTACATCATTTCCCATCATATATCTGAGTAATGAGTGATCTGCCTTTACAAGCTGTCTAAAATATGCATTTATGTATGTCGACAGCTGGTAGATCAGTAAAGGTAAGAACTTGTCAGAACATTAACACGAGTTGTCTCCTCTTCTTTGTTTTTTCTTCTGCAGAAATTTGACACAGAGCCCCACTTTGCTTTACTGAAGGAGCTCTTCACCCAGGTGTGTATACAGAATGCATCCATTAATCCTGAAAGTCTGTGTTGGGTTTAAGTTGACTTGTAATAATCATTGTTTAGATGCAGCAGTGAATCTTGAAAGCTGAGGTTTCACATCTATATTTTTATATAGAAGGAAGTACTCAATACGTTTTATTGTTGCAGACATTTTCTACCCCACGCTACCACCCGAAGAGTCAGCCTTTCGTGGACCACGTCTTCACATTCGCCATCGCAGACAACAGGATATGGTTTAGAAACTACCAGGTAACTATTCTATAATTCTCCACAAAGTCATCCAGGCTTACATTGTAAGTATTTCATTGTTCTTCTGTTGTGGGGTCAGTGTTCAGATATTTTTATTCAGCAAAAAACTTCTGTGCCACATTCAGATCATGGAGGAGGACGCCGCTCTAGTGGAGGTCGGACCTCGCTTTGTTCTCAACCTCATCAAGATCTTTCAGGGGAGCTTCGGAGGGCCCACGCTCTTCGAGAACCAGGACTTCCTGTCTCCCAACATGGTAAAAATGACAGTTTATATTGTCAGCATGTGAGGTGTCTGATTCCTATTGTCAGCATGTGAGGTGTCTGATTCCTTACCATGCTACATCATACGTTATCTTATTATGTCACTTTCCTCGCACACCCTCAGCACCGGCGACAGATCCGACTGGCGGCAGCAGCCAGAGTGCGTGAGAAGCAGATGGTGAAGGAGATGCAGAAAATGAAGAAGACTGAAGCGAAGGAGGACGTCACCAAAGACGTTACAGCCGACGTCTTCCTAACACCAGCTGACGAGACGCACGTTCACATCCAGATGGACGCACCCGAACCGAAAGTAGCGAAGAAGAACAAACACAAGGCTTTCAAAAGACAAAGGATGGCACGCAGGTAACTGGATGGACTGTCGTGCCGAGTGAATGGCTTACTGCGGCCATGATTCAATGTTGTCTCAAGCAAATGTGGTAATGCAACAGTGCGGTCCAATATTATGAGCTTTGTTAGGGTAAAAGAAAAGACCTGAAACTGTACAACACGTCGTTTAATTATCACGTGACAGAATTCGAGAACATTTTAAAGATGCACGTGTTGTCTTCAATGTCTGTTGCCATAGTTTGTGGATTCACACAATATGTTTTATGCTCCCTCCCTCAGAAAGACTGTACCATTTGTAACTACGATACTGAAAAGAAATATTTTCCCATCCTTTTTGATAAACAAATATTCCATCAATGTAAAAAAACAACTTGTTTATTGATTTTGAGTGACCACAATTGTTTTCAATGTCATGAAAATAAAACAATTTGAACTTCTTCTGCGTCATCTGATGTATACTTCCAACAAATGCTTGTCAAAGGTGTCGGCATACACATTAAACTTGAAGGACAGTTATGGCAATGCTTGTGCATAGAAGTCAAAGGCCTGTGGAGTGCAGACCTACTGTACAGAAAAAGGAAAACGACTGTCTTAAATATTTTATGGGCCGTTGACCAGCTCACTGCATGTCAGGGGACAAAAGGCAGAAGAAGCTCCAGAAACAAATCTGTACAGACTGTGGCCTGAACTGGACTACAAACCATGTGGGTTCAAGAAATTACAGGCAATGTTTTCTGACTCAAAACACCTGGAACTCCATGGATGCACAATAATACAATATATACAGTGACTGTACATACAATCATTTTCCCTATCTGTCTATGACTATGTACTTTCTATGATAATGGTCTAACAAGACCAAGTAGGTGACATTATCACTCCACAAATCCAGTGCAATGCTCCACTCAAAAGACTGTTGGCAAACGATGAACCTGGTTATTTTGTTGAAACAATGCAACCTTCCCCAATATTCATTATGCCTATAACGTCCAGCATTTATTACCTGTCTGCACCGCAGACTTTTCCCACTCATTCAAAGTGAATGGTCCCCCCTGAAGTTCATTCAACAGACTATAGTCACTCCTCCTCCACCTCCTCATCAGGACAACAGAAGTATTCCACAAAGCAGATCTGTCCGTCGTCGTTTCTGATCAGGTACTGCAGAGACAGGAAGCCCCTGCTGTCTGTCCTCACAGAGACTTTACAGGACAAAGCCAGGGCTTTGGTGGACGGCTTCAGGAGGGACATCTTGTACCTGTGACAGTTAACGGAGAGGCCAGCACACAACATGGAGCGTTAATAAAAGTCATTACGGGCAGATACAGAGACAAGAATCTTCCTCAGGGTGTGATGTAAAAAAACTAATGCTGAAGCAGCAGAATTTCTCTTTTTCATAGGGGGCAACATAAGGCAACTACGGATTTATTTCTCTGTGCTAACCTGTTGGTTTGTGTCTTGTCGCATCGGAACAGCTCCATCATGTCAGAGTCTTTGGGATAGTCATAATGGGCATTTCCAGAGTTCCCAAATGTAGACAATCTGGAAAGCAGAACAAATCCCAGAAGAATAAGTATAATACAAGATTATAGATTTGACAGTTGAATTAATGAAAAGAGGATACATGTATTGTAAACATAGTTGTTTGGAATTTTAGCGATATGAAAACTAACCAAAAGTCCAGTCAACATTAAACTTTAGAACGAGTAGTGATGCTTGAAACAGCAGTTTCAGGTTTTGACAACACACCTAAAGTATGGCTGGCTGGGGGACATGGTGATCTGTAGCACCTCACTGGTCATGTCCAGCTCAGAGAAGGCTTCCTTCAGACTCTCTGACTGCAGGATCACCTTTAAAAAAGAGCCAGAGGTACATGAGTCCTAATCAATTGCAGACACTGTCATATGCAGTATATTTCCTCGTGGGTTTGATTAATAAGCAATCATCGCAAATCAACAGAAAAGGTGTATTGTATTGTTTGCATTTGTCAAACTATGCAGTAGTATATATAAACAGTATACTAATTACATGAAATAGTGTCAGTTCACCTTGTTTGTTACATTGGTGCTGCAGAACTCAAAGTCAACTGGCTCCTCTGGTTCTTGCGTGTTGATCTTGCACACAGTCACTACCCCACCCTCCTCCAGGAACAGCGTGAGGGGGTAACCGTACCCCCTGTAGCACATCCGCAAGGCTGTTGACACTCCTTCAACATCGCACAAGGGAGATAGTGAAAATGTTCAGTCATATCTGAGATGGATAATAATCTAAATATGGCAGATACAATCCTATTTAAACTGTGTTTAGACAGGCTTGTATCTGTTTTGTTTATTTATTGCTTCCTTTATCTGTACCAGGTACTGCGGTTCCTCCAAAGATATTAAGGCAGTCCAGCAGAACTGTGAGGTTGACCTGGAAACCCACCGAATCTTCCCGTATGGTGAACTCTTGGAAGATCTCCGCCTGGATGAAAAAGAAGACATCTGTTATTCCAGACTCTCTGCGCACGCTCAATGAAAGAGGATAAGGGCGATTATGTATGCACATAAAACACACCTGGATGAAGGCATTGGCTTGCAGACATTTGGAGTCCTCCACAGTGACCTTTAGGCCATTGGGTGTGGCGCTGAAGATGGCGTGGTCTTTGAATGTGATGGCTTTCAGTAAATTGGACAGACTGCGAGCATTGTCCAAACTGGCCACTAAAACGTATTGTTCATCATCGGCTTGCAACTGCGTTGACAGAGGCATTGTGGCACTGAAACGAAGACACACAGAACTGATAAGACTGCACAAAAACGATAAAATAGCTTAGTTATCAAGTTAAATCTCGTTAATGTCATTAACAGAGAGGTTTCTTGTATTGCAACCTTGATACTATGATCATTTAAAACCAAGAACAAGCGCTTAGCCGAAAAAGGTCAGGTAACTGTACCATAGATGCACAAAGCTGTCATTTTACTGTCTGTTATTTACCTTTTTTAAGCTAGGCTAACGTTATATGACAGCCTATCACATTTAGTTAGTGAAGAGTTAAAAACAACGATAATTTAAGCGTCATGTATTAAGTGCCATGTAATTGAACTAGCATCCCCGGTAAATAAACTTTAAAATGCCTGTGATAATGCGTCACTTACTTACAAAGTTGTATTTCAGAATCTCATGTGCCTGTGTTTTGAAGAAAGGCGCCTCTGACAACTTCCGCTTCTCTCTTCTTCGACGGAAGTAGGGTTTGCGCATGTGCAGATATTCTTCTACGGAAGTAGGTTCTACGCATGTGCAGATACATTCCAGAGACTTCGTAGCAGAGACCAAAACACGGAAGAATTGTCCTCTCTACACCGGCAGTACGCGACACCAGTTGTGTCTTGTGATCCAAAGAGGTGAGATTATAACTAATTTAAACGTTGTTGAGACTGCAAGTTGTTTATAATTCTTCATACCTGTTCCGTTCACCGCGCGATGACAGGAAGTTAGCGTTAGCTTAGCTAAACATGACTGATGACATCACTGATCACTAACGAGGCAAGTTAATGAGACACAACATGTCTCAAGAAGAGCCTCAACAGGTTCACGACTCACATTGCAAAGCAGAGCAGAGAACACAGCCTTCCGTCTGCTGTTTGTGACGAAATATTAGCTAATTAAGCACCAGTTTAATTGACAGGTTGCTCGTGACAAACCTCAATGAGATGAGATGAGATGTTTTAGATGCTCATGCTTTTTTGTACACCCCACTGTTGGGCACAAACTGTTCAATTCTAATCCATTTATTATCAATAATAAATGGCCACCTCATAGCTCACAGGGATAACCATATTGAAAGTTCAGTCACGTCTTGAATGAAATCTATATATAAATTGACCCTCTAAATATATGAGCATAAAAGGTTTGTGACCACTGAGATAAAGTCCCATTATTAATATTTTTTTGACATATTGTGTGTTCTTTCTCTGCTTCAGGTTCTTCATTTTGTGCAGCCTGTCTCAGCTGCAGTCATGGTGTGCATCCCCTGTATTGTGATTCCGGTCCTGTTGTGGGTCTACAAGAGGTTCCTGGAGCCTTTCCTCTATCCTTTCATTTCACCGATTATCAATAGATTCTGGACTAAAAAAGCAGTCCAGGAGACTGCGGCTAGTGACCGAAAAGTTAGCGAAAAGAGTAATGGCACTTACACAGTAAGTTGATTGAAAAGTGATGATGTTATTGAGTTATTGATAACAACAGCATTTTGAAAGACATTTTCCTTCTCCTGTGTTTCAGCCTGAAAGCAACGGTGAGGCCACTGCCAATGGATCCACTATAGCAGCCGATAAGAAGACAGATTGACTGCTCTAAATGATTATAACGCATCTAAAACAGTGTAAATATTCTATTATTTTAATATAGAGAAACTATGAATTAACTTATAATACCTCTATGAATGGAGGGGTTTTTAATAGCCTTCCATGTTATCGTATCTTATCATTTGTATAACAGTATCTTTAAGAAATTAGTTATTGTTGATATATGTATTTACTGTGTTGATTATTCACTCTCGACAGAATAGTTTTTCTATGTCAAAATTGCAATTTAATGAATGAATAAAAGACAACGTTCAAATAGAAAAAGATGCTCATGTTTTGCTCCATACTTTCTCTAGCTTACTTCATGTTGTGAGTCATCAAGGGATCGATTTTGATAACACAGCGTGACCATAGAAGGGTCACAAATTTAAGAGAGTGTTCCAAACACAAAACATATTGTACACTGTGTACACAATTATTAGGCAAGTTGTATTTTTGAGGATTCATTTTATTATTGAACAACTACAGTGCTCTCGGTCAATCCAAAATGTTAATAAACCTGAATATTTAAGTAAGTAAAAGTGAGGTTTTGGCTTTCTTAGGAGAAAATCTATGTGCGCACAATTATTGGGCAACTTTTTTCAGCCCTAAATACTCTGATCAAGCCACTGAAATCGGTTTTTAGCACAGATTTTTTATTTTTGATTTAACTGGGATTAACCAGTAATTCAAATGATTATATTGTCCTAATCAAAATGTAACATGTATGTTATTTTTAAATTTAGTTGCATGAAGAGGTGGCCTCTGTAAATGCAAGTGTCCCTGTCACCACTAGAGAGCATCATGGTATTATAACCTATATACGCCCTATGATTATAACTAATGACAGTAAGCTGGCATCTGTGAGACTTTATAATCAATCTACAATCACAGATTCACTACAGTAGTGTGGAATAAACAGGGAGATGTGGTAGTCAACATAATATAT